AGGTGGGGGTGGAAGGAATACTCTAGATATAATATCAAAGACTTACCTGGACCCTGGACTGATAGCCTTCCTCCCCAGTGCTCCTGGATCAAATGGGATGGCAGTGGGTGAGGTGGGGGTGGAAGGAATACTCTAGATATAATATCATAGACTTACCTGGACCCTGGACTGATAGCTTTCCTCCCCAGTGCTCCTGGATCAAATGGGATGGCAGTGGGTGAGGTGGGGGTGGAAGGAACACTGTGGACCTCTCCTGTTGACTCAGGTTCAGAATCCTCTGGGTAACCACTGCTCCTAGAAAACATACAATAAGACAGATTCACCAACTCCAACATCAATAGACAACAACTTCTACTGTCTTAAGTGTTCTATTGATAAGCCTAACTGCTTCTCACATTATGAAATGAATTATGTAGAGATACACATGACATTCCCAAACTGTAACAAGTCAACAAAGTTGTCATATGAAGAAATGTTAATCTCCAAATTAAAGTGCACAAAACTATTTTTTTTTCAAATTTTGATGCAATATTTAACAATGCCTCACAGCAGCATCCCTTCACATACATCTTTAAGAACCCACCATTCAGAAAAATTCATGAGAAGTGTTTCACAAACCAATGTTATTTGAAATGGCTCACTTCAAATAGTTGCCCTGTCAACTTGATACTGACACACTAGCATAAACAGATGGTTGCCATGATAACATGTGACACAGAGACACCAGTATAAACAGATGGTTGCCATGATGACGCGTGACATAGACACACCAGTATAAATAGATGGTTGCCATGACAACGCGTGACATAGACACACCAGTATAAAAAGATGGTTGCCATGACAACACGTGACACAGACACACCAGTATAAACAGATGATTGCCATGACAACGCGTGATACAGACACATCAGTATAAACAGATGGTTGCCATGACAACATGAGACACAGACACACCAGTATAAACAGACACCCCCCACATTTACCCTTCAGATTCCTGTCCTTGGTCAGCTTGGTCAAACTCTTTGTCCAGTTCCTCATTACTGGACCCTTTGGCACTAAGAATTCCCTCGTCACTGGTGGACGAATGCTGGTCGTGTTCATGGTGTTGTCCAAGATGGTGCCTCTGCAGTGCTCTCTCTGCCTGACGCCTTTTTTCTTCTCTAAGACCCTGAAGTGTTTTTCTTACCAAGTATCCTCTACACTTGGCTTGCAGATGTATGGTTCTTTGTTTTAAGTGGAGGTATTTCCTTCTTTCTCTTGCCATTCTGTACCATTTCTGAATGTCTCTGACAGCAAACAACTGAGCCTGCAGTTGTCTTTGAGCAATGTAACACCTAAACTGAGCCTGGAATAGCAAGCCAAAGATTTCATAACAAGAAAGGTCTTATAATTCAGGGAAATAAGGAAAGTCAACTGGAATCCGTTCTCTGATTTTCCTTATCTCTTTTTTTCCAAAGTAATATCAGTACATGACGTTTCGTAACTTTTATCTTTTCCAGAAAAATCCACCCACCTGTCTACACTGGTGCATGTACATTTGTTTGGGTAAGTAAAAGGTGTCTGAGAGTTTCACTTCATGGAAGCTCTTTCCACGTACCTGTATCCTTAAAGTGGCTTCCCTTAACCTTAGGAATGCCTTCCTCTTCAATATGGTCCTCATCCATCTCTGAATCCTCACAATTCTCTGCATCAGGGCCTGGTGGAGGGCATCATCTAGAAGAATCTTCTCAGCTTCTCTCAGAAACACCTGCACAGTTTCACACAAAAATCACTGTCATGTCCCTTCACTTGTTATGTACCACTTGTACATCAAATATCTTAGTTCTAAATGAATCTAGATTTTCACAAGTGTATGCTATACCTTTGATATTTGATAAAAATATCCAATAATGGCTGCTTACCTTGGTCTTTCCTATTTGGTAGTTCTCATGATTGATGTCTAAGGTTTCTAGAAAACAGATCACATCTGTTTTTGAGCTACAAAGTCCTCGTGGCAGCAGAAGCTTGTAGTGCTGAATGAACTCCTGCAATTTTAACATATATATTTCATTTCTGACTGAAAAAACAATCTCTAAAATAATCAAGCTGCAAGTACACATGGAAAAAGCAATGACGAGTCTGTACATAAAAAGCAGCAGTAATTGTGGAAATATGAGTCTGCACATAAAAAGCATTTCTTGTGTATGTATTTACCTCAAATGTGAGTGTATATAAAAGCAGCACTTATTGTGCAAATGTGAGTCTGTACATAAAAAGCAGGTGTAATTGTGTATATATTTACCTCAAATGTGAGTCTGTACATAAAAAGCAGCAGTAATTGTGTATGTATTCACCTAAAATGTACATAAATAGCTGTAGTAATTGTGTATGTATTCACCTCAAATGTGAGTCTGTACATAAAAAGCAGCAGTAATTGTGCATATATATTCACCTCAAATGTGAGTCTGTAGTTATAGCCAGATTGGCGGATCATCACTGTGGCCAGCATTCCAGTGTATCGCAGTTGACGCAGGATGATGTCATCATCAAATTCACATGGTGCCTGGGAAAAAAACTCACAAATCAGCTTAAGCCAACATTCCTAGTCTTCACTAAATGCTTTTGTCTCTACAGCAAGATACAGAATAAAAATAAAAATTCAATTTAACACAGACCCTTATATAATTGTATCCTTGCCTTTTCCCTACAATTATTTTATTGAAAACACTAGTTAAAACCTTATCAAATTCTTGAAAATGTTTTGTCCCCAAGATTTGTAACCTTTTTCTTAATTAGTTTACATTATCCTAATGCATTCTCTCTTTTGTCAGTTTATAAGTGGCAGACTTACTTTGTTTGAGTTTGACTTAATACATCTGATAAAGAATGGATTGGCTTGGCTTAGGGTGGCCATTAATTGAGACAGGGAGATCTGAAAGGGGAAAAAATGACTGGTTAAATGTGTTTATTTTCCAAACCTCCCTGCAACAGATAAAAAGTTATGCAAGGTTTATTATACAGAAAAAATAAATACTTCCAATAACTAACCAGGTTTATGGTACACAATTTAGTACTTGGTTTGTGTCAGTTGTAAAAATGTGAATTCTTCTCCTCAAGGCGGCAATTAAATCCCCTAACTAATATTTTTTTGATATTACTTTCTCTCTAATATCTTATCTTAATGTACAAGGCCCTTGAATTTTAAACTAGAAATGTAACATCAATTTTTATGTTTTAAAGTAATGCAACTATACGACTCAAAATACTGGGAATAAACTGTGCATTACTGGTGCCATTAGATTATTACACCTTAGCAACAGCAGTACAATACATGCATGCAATATGATAAACATATTTTATCCATGTGATATCCTGAACATGCATGCATTTCAGCACGCACGCACACATACACACACACAAATAAAATAAGAGTCCATTCTCTCTTCCCGAACAGTCCTAACTCCCTTCCCAAACAGTCCATTCTTTCTTCCCAAACGGTCCAAACTCCCTTCCCAAACAGTCCATTCTCTCTTCCCAAACAGTCCAAACTCCCTTCCCAAACAGTCCATTCTCTCTTACCAAACAGTCCATTCTCTCTTCCCAAACAGTTCATTCTCCCTTCCCAAGCAGTTCATTCTCCCTTCCCAAGCAGTTCATTCTCTCTTCCCAAATAGTCCATTCTCCCTTCCCAAACAGTCCATTCTCACTTCCCAAACAGTCCATTCCCTCTTCCCAAACAGTTCATTCTCCCCTCCCAAATAGCCCATTCTCCCTTCCCAAACAGTCCAAACTCTCTTTCCAAACAGTCCATTCCCTCTTCCCAAACAGTCCAAACTCCCTTCCCAAATAGCCCATTCTCTCTTCCCAAACAGTCCATCCTCTCTTCAAAAGCACTGACATCAAGCAAATGAAGAAAGAGAAGCCAGGTTGGAAAGGTTGACTGGAACAGGAGAATGAGGAGTTTACATGAAGCAAAATCAGTATTTCGGCATTTTTCATGTCTCCAGATGTACTAAAATAGAATGAGTTTAATGTTACTGCTTTGAAATTGAAAGCTACATGTCAAGATGAGGCTCATCAAACAATATAAAATAATAAATATATATATGTATAACTTCTGCCAGTGGATCAAGGTCATGAGAGTGGTAGATAAGGAGAATATACAGCTTTTTAAAAATTATTCCACATTTTGGGTTAGGTTCACGTTTGAAAGCACTTTCAAAAAGTCCCCTTAAACTTTCAGTTTGAAAGAAAAGAATGTTTCTGATGAACAGCATCCTTTACACAACTATCAGTGTAGTATTTTATGCAGGGACAATTTGGAAAGCTGTCACAGTTAGTAGTATTACCGCCAATCCAACAGAGCTGTGAGCATTGTAGATCTAGAAGAACAGGACCTGGGCATTACAACAGCAACACTTCTAGAGGCTATAGCTTGATCACATTTTCTACTTATATCTCTACTTAATTTGTTTTGTTAAATTAAACTACTTTTAGAGATACCTTAGGCAATGTTGTATATATCAGTATTCTACTTGGTTAGTGATATTCAATCCTCATCTCTAAGGATACCATCAATAACACTCCAGAAACTACCCAATAAAATGTTTTTGCAACAACTATCAAGCTATACAAAATACAACAAGCCTCATTTCTTGGGACCAAAGGAGTTACCTTGATAGGCTGAACAGAGAAAATTCATAAAACCATATAGAAATATGTATCTGTATACAGCTGTGATCACCATAAGCAGCCTTACCTGGAACTGGGCACTGACACTGGGGGGTTGTTTCTTAGAGCCACCTCTGCTAGACAGCATACTGCGACCAGCCACGGTTTTCATGGACTTCAGATCTCGAAATCCCTTCATTAGGCCAAAAATAAAAGATATATTTATAATATTTCAAAAATACAACTCTTTTTTTTTTCTCATAGATTCATGCGAACCACATAGATATGCACCTATGTCCCAAAGTATTATTATTACTTTAAATAGAACTTAGATAATTTGACAATACTTACCTTGGTAGTTTTTACCTTTGGTTTGAAAGACTTGTTTTTCCTACAGAGAAGAAGAAAAGTGTAAGATATGATATGATACATGCAGTTTTCAATTTCTGCTTTATGAATGCAGTGACCATGTTTTATTACACGAGCAAACCAAAATGCTGTTGACATGTAAAATTAACATATAACATTGCTTGATTATTTTTATAATGACTTTATTATTATCCGAATGGCTGTGGGAATACTTGTCTGCCTGTGTTTCACACTGGAGGAAATAAAGAGGTCTTTAGCAATTTGAAGCCAGAAAAAATCTGCTGCTGAAGTGAAAGCTGCCAGAAGCTTTGTTTGCTTGGATGATTTCACACACACAGATATAATTATCATAGAAATAGATCTCTAGTCAGAACAAGGCAGAAAATCTGAAGCTTTGCCCAATAATTAATAATCAACAGGAAGATCCATATCTTAATTTGTGAAATTGGCCAATATTTTTGTCCATCATATCTTTCTTCCTTCATCATTTAAAAATTATCATAAATTAATATCTACATAAGCATATGAAGACCACCATTACTAAAAGAACATACCCAGTAGACAGCCCCTCCCCCACCCTCCATCCACTTCACAGTCCATGCAGGAAATAGCCAGCCCCATGCTTTACACTGCTCTGGTTACAACACACAACAAACTATTACCAACTGATGACCAGAAATACATTCACTTTCAGTAAGTGTCAAACACTGTCACCCATCCTGCTGACACATGCTCCTGTATGTCTAGTGAAGGAATCATTCCCAATGAAACTATTGTTCTACTTAGATCGATCCAACTCTGTGTGGACTCTGAGTGCACTCATACTAACAGATTAACACACCTCCTCATATCCAGCATATATTAACAGATTAAGGGCATATTCCCATAGATTTTAGATCAATCTATCCCTGTGAGGAGTCTCTCTAGATTACTGTCAGATAATCTGGCTTAAATGTCCGTCCCGCCTACTACAAGCTGTAAGGAGGTAATTAACTTTTGTGCCCGCGCGGCTGACAGCTATTTAGCGTGAACCCCCAGGGAGTTAGGTCGATCTAATTTGGATTGATCTAATCTCTGGGAATGGGGTCTAACACACCTCCTCATATCCAGCATATATAAAATTTGTATTATCACCACCTTTTATGTATTCTACTCAATGCCAGGAGGAAGCGTGTTTATTAGTCTATCTGACTGCATTCAGCAAGAGTCCCCGCCAAGTAGGATCAGTCTATGTAAAATGTTCTTTTCACAGGAAATGAGCCCTACCTATGTCTATACATCTACTACTGTGCACTGTTGTCAACTTGGCTTCTTAATGTACCACAGATCTCTTCAACCTCTGAGAATTTTACTAAACCATGGTCTGCATCACCACAGTATGTCCCCATGTCTGTCATAAATTACCACAACAGAGTTTGAAGAGAAATGTCTTTTCTTTTGAAAATACTGATACCTGTATATATTGGTGCACTATCTACAAACAGCTGTGGTACATCTCAAAGCCTCTGTGTATAAGTCCCCCCCCCTCCCCCTCCCCCTTCTGTCTCTACCACCTACATGAGTACTCTAGCTGCTTTACGCATGGCTTTGGAGTTGTTGGTATAGATGTAACTGTGACGTGCTCTTTGCTGGTCCTCCTCTACCACCTCCTCTATCTTCTCCTCCATACTGGGGAGATCCAAGCCCCCCAGCCGCTCATGCAGTTGCCCCACAGCAGGATCAAGTGTTTGGGATGCAATTAAAGAGGAACGCGGTAAACTACAAGAAGACAAATGGATACACTCCAAGCTTGGACATCTCTCACAGTTGAAGATAAAAAAATAATATAAAAAAGTAATAATAATAATAAAGACATCAAAATGCTCTAAAACTGAAGCATGCTATTACTCGACCAGAGAAAATGCTGACTGGGATTCAAAGGGAATTTTACAATCCTCTCACCATTAACTGACTATGTTACTACATTTGTGTTTCAAGGTTTTCTTTCAGAATTATATAAGTAGTATTGCCAAGTGATAGCCAAACAATGATATCCCCAAACACAAGTTAATTGAATGTTATTTGGAGGTTTTCTGCCTGTTATAAGTTAAAACTCTACCAATCTACTGACTACAATTTTATCCTGGGGACTATTTTATTAGAAAATTATTCAAAGTTCATCATGCAGCCTAACACATATTAGACATTTAACAGTTATAAGTTCTTTTTCTTTTGTTATTTCTTTGAAGTCATTTATTTTATAAAATATACTTTACAATATAGACAGATAAATTTTAAATTGGTCATAACAATAGTGCACTTATCTAATTGGATGCCTAAATCTAAGAATTAATGTCAATAAGTAAAGCCATTATTGCCTTATCACCAAACAGGGCAAGATGACATGCTTTTTACCTATAACTCTAAACTATCACAAAGACTGGCAAATTTATATCTTCAAACTAGATTTCACTTTTGGAATATATATTAATCAAATTATGGGACTGGTAAAGAACTTATGAATTTGAATTTATTTTATATAGACTCCTGATTCCAATTTTACTGGGTGACAAAAATGTTCACTCATTTCAGATTACAATTTTTTTGTTTTCACAGAAAGTGTCAAATGCCAATGCACCATTTGAAATCCAACATTCTAGCCTTTCAAATATTTCATCTTTCTGTTCAAATAAAACATAAATAACTGTCTTCATACAGTATGGTTTCTGAAGCACAACATGCTCTTGAACACACTAGTACAGAGAAGCTGCCCTCAGTGCGGCAAATGTCAGGCAACATGCTTTCCACTTACTTAATTCTGCGTATAGCAGAAAAGGCAAGAGCAACATGAAAGACATCTCTAGAGGAAAATAAAGAATAGAACAAATATGAAAGGAAGAGAAAAAATCCTGAGATAAATTATAGTATTTATGAATAGAATGCCTTTGATCAATAAGGCATCAGCGACAGAATTTCAGGCTCAAACAACAGCAAGTGCAACACCATGTTTTTTTTTTTTTGTTATGAAGACATGTGGCATATAATATGTTATTTCAAGGGCCAACTTATGAACCTCTAAGCTGAAGAGATTGCTGCTGTCCCTGGCTGTATACATACCTGAGAGCACTATCACTGCCTGAGCGTGCTAATTTGACAAACTGCCCTGCTGACTTCTGCCTTCTTAAAACACCAAGTTTGGTACCTGAAACATATCAGATGACCTACATCACATTGCTAACACAACAGAAACAACTTACTCTTATCTAAAGAATAAAAAGAATCATGTCAATATACTAAATATGCAAACTGCATTGAAATTCTAAACTATGAATCTAAAACACAGCTTCATTAGTAAACAATTAAAAAATATTTATGTTAAATCAGATGTTTCTAAAGGTGTCTCTTTCCATAAATCCTAGTAGTTGCTCTTTGGTATTTCTTCTACTTTATCATGCTGTGACTATAATGGGTATGGTGAAGCATATAAAACAAATAATTATATCCAAAAATAAAAGTGCTATTTATAAATTAAAATTTATTAATAAGCCACCACCAATATAGGTTTTTATGATTATATTCTGACTTTCCCATCACTTTATTTCTACCATCACAACACACAGCCATGTTATATCTCCAGCTTTACTTCTACCATCACAACATACAGCCATGTTATATCTCCAGTTTTACTTCTACCATCACAACACACAGCCATGTTATATCTCCAGTTTTACTTCTACCATCACAACATACAGCCATGTTATATCTCCAGTTTTACTTCTACCATCACAACACACAGCCATGTTATATCTCCAGTTTTACTTCTACCATCACAACATACAGCCATGTTATATCTCCAGTTTTACTTCTACCATCACAACACACAGCCATGTTATATCTCCAGTTTTACTTCTACCATCACAACATACAGCCATGTTATATCTCCAGTTTTACTTCTACCATCACAACACACAGCCATGTTATATCTCCAGCTTTACTTCTACCATCACAACATACAGCCATGTTATATCTCCAGTTTTACTTCTACCATCACAACACACAGCCATGTTATATCTCCAGCTTTACTTCTACCATCACAACATACAGCCATGTTATATCTCCAGTTTTACTTCTACCATCACAACACACAGCCATGTTATATCTCCAGCTTTACTTCTACCATCACAACATACAGCCATGTTATATCTCCAGTTTTACTTCTACCATCACAACACACAGCCATGTTATATCTCCAGCTTTACTTCTACCATCACAACATACAGCCATGTTATATCTCCAGTTTTACTTCTACCATCACAACACACAGCCATGTTATATCTCCAGCTTTACTTCTACCATCACAACATACAGCCATGTTATATCTCCAGTTTTACTTCTACCATCACAACACACAGCCATGTTATATCTCCAGCTTTACTTCTACCATCACAACATACAGCCATGTTATATCTCCAGTTTTACTTCTACCATCACAACACACAGCCATGTTATATCTCCAGCTTTACTTCTACCATCACAACATACAGCCATGTTATATCTCCAGTTTTACTTCTACCATCACAACACACAGCCATGTTATATCTCCAGCTTTACTTCTACCATCACAACATACAGCCATGTTATATCTCCAGTTTTACTTCTACCATCACAACACACAGCCATGTTATATCTCCAGCTTTACTTCTACCATCACAACATACAGCCATGTTATATCTCCAGTTTTACTTCTACCATCACAACACACAGCCATGTTATATCTCCAGCTTTACTTCTACCATCACAACATACAGCCATGTTATATCTCCAGTTTTACTTCTACCATCACAACACACAGTCATGTTATATCTCCAGCTTTACTTCTACCACCACAACCCATAGCCATGTTATATCTCCAGTTTTACTTCTACCATCACAACATACAGTCATGTTATATCTCCAGTTTTACTTCTACCATCACAACATACAGCCATGTTATATCTCCAGCTTTACTT